TCCACACACACTTATAAACATCTGTATAAACACTGTTACCTCCACACACACTTATAAACATCTGTTACCCTCCACACACACTTATAAACACCTGCTACCCTCCACACACACTTATAAACACCTGTTACCTCCACACACACTTATAAACACCTGTTACCCTCCACACACACTTATAAACACCTGTTACCCTCCACACACACTTATAAACATCTGTTACCCTCCACACACACTTATAAACACCTGTCACCCTCCACACACACTTATAAACACCTGTCACCCTCACACACACTTATAAACACCTGTCACCCTTACACACTTACAAACAGCTGCTCACACTCACACACTTACAAACCGCTGCTCACACTCACACACTTACAAACAGCTGCTCACACTCACACACTTACAAACAGCTGCACCCACTTACATGGCACACTTACAAACAGCTGCTCACACTTACACACCCTTACAAACAGCTGCTCATACTCACACACTTACAAACAGCTGCTCACACTCTCACACACTTACAAACAGCTGTTCACACTCACACTTTCAAACAGCTGCTCACACTTACACACTCACAAACAGCTGCACACACTTACACACTTACAAACAGCTGCTCACACTCACACACTTACAAACAGCTGCTCACACTCACACACTTACAAACAGCTGCACACACTCACACACTTACAAACAGCTGCACACACTCACACACTTACAAACAGCTGCTCACACTCACACACTTACAAACAGCTGTTCACACTCACACACTTACAAACAGCTGCACACACTCACACACTTACAAACAGCTGCACACACTTACACTCTCCTCTTAATGTGAATACCTTGAGCAGATGGGCAGCATTTTTCACCCGCACTGAAAGTCGTATGTGAGGTTTTTTTTTACAGCATTGTCAGTTAGGTTAGGTTAGGTTAGAGTACGTTAGAGTACGTTAGGTTACGTTAGGTTACGTTAGGTTACGTTAGGAAGGTGTAAAAATGGGTTCTTTTTCTCCACAGGTAAATAATATTGTAAGATAAATTTTAACACCAATTCTGAATGGGTTAAAAAATTATACAATGAAAATATGTTATTAAAATTTTGAAGCATTTTCTTGAAAGCTTAGACAACCCTGGAGAGAGAGAGAGAGAGAGAGAGAGAGAGAGAGAGAGAGAGAGAGAGAGAGAGAGAGAGAGAGAGAGAGAGAGATATGAGTGGGTAGATAGATAGATAAATGTGTCCGATAGATAGACAAGGGATCCGATGGTTAGATGAGGAGGGGGGGGATTGATAGATAGATAGATAGATAGATAAGAAGGTAGATAACTGGGATATGGATGAATAGGTAGATTGGTAGACAGGTAAGTGACTGGCTGATAGATGATAGCTATAATTATCTACCACTAATTATGGTACTAATGACCTATTAATGTGAGCAGTTAATTATTACACCTGGTGGTACAGTGAAATGATAACTACAGGTACGCTGGTTCTAACCCTTTCAAGTCTCGACCAATTATAGAAGACGGTGTAATTATTTATTAACCTGAATGACGTCTTAAGGATTCTATAATTACATGGTTATAATATACAGGAATTATATAATGTTATACAGAATTATAATACTTTAGTTACCGAGTGAGTACAAGTGATAGAGCTTATTGTATTAATTTTGTTTACCTGTTCTTGTTGTTTTTATTGTATTGTATTTAAATTATCTTGTTTAAGTTAAAATTAATTGCATATTGTTTGAATTATTATTATTATTATTGTTGTTACTATTATTATTATTATTATTATTATTATTATTATTATTATTATTATTATTATTATTATTATTATTGTTATTATTATTATTATTATTATTATTATTATTATTATTGTTATTATTATTATTATTATTATTATTATTATTATTATTATTATTATTATTGTTATTGTTATTATTATTATTATTATTATTATTATTACATTATTTATTATTATTATTATTATTATTATTATTATTATTATTATTATTATTGTTATTATTATTATTTATTATTATTATTATTATTATTATTATTATTATTATTATTGTTATTATTATTATTATTATTATTATTATTATTATTATTATTATTATTATTTATTTATTTTTTATTATTATTACTAATCATTTTCATTAGTATTACTCTTAACATTATTACTACCATTATTTATTACTATTTTAACTAGGCTCGCTTCTGTATATAAAATACTTGATATTTCTCAGTAAATGGCTCTGATGCTCACAATGTTATTTACAAAATGGAAATTCTCACTTGCTAAATCTATTCCCTTGACAAAAATAAAACAATATGTATTAAATGAATATATATGAACGACACCATTTACATATAGACACATCAGTGTAATATGTTAATGTTGCTTATATTTTCTCTATTTTATAAGAGTTTATGTTAAATATCTGGCCATGTCTCCGTTTTCTTTAATCAGAAGCTGCATCCGAAATTTGGCTGTACTGTAACACTATTATAGTCTTGGTGTTAAGGTTGTTGGGTTTCGTTAAGTTAGGTCATGTTGGTGGTTAGGATTTGGTTAGGTTAGGTTAGGTTTTGGTTAGGTTTTGGTTAGGTTAGGTTAGGTTTTGGTTAGGTTTTGGTTAGGTTAGGTTAGGTTTTGGTTAGGTTAGGTTAGGTTTTGGTTAGGTTTTGGTTAGGTTAGGTTAGGTTTTGGTTAGGTTTTGGTTAGGTTAGGTTAGGTTTTGGTTAGGTTTTGGTTAGGTTAGGCTAGGTTTTGGTTAGGTTAGGTTAAATTGATAATATTGTTGTGTAATATAACGACACCTATTGATTATACTATTACCTGTGAAGGGTGAATGAGAGAGAGGAGGGAGAGAGACAGGTGAGAGGTGAGAGGTGAGGAAGAGGGAGAGGGAGAGGGATGAAAAGTGAGGGGGAGGTTAGTGAGAGGTGAAGCAGAGGGATGCTAAATGAGGGGTAAGGGAGAGACAGAGTTAAATAAGAAGCAAGATTAAACAATAATTGAGAGAAGAAATGAAGAGAAAGGAGAGTAATGAATATAGGAAGAAAGAAGGAGGAGGGGAAGTAGTAATAGTAGATAAGACAGGTTAATGATGGGGAGAGAGAGATATAGAGAGGGAGAAAGATAAATATATAAAGAGAAAGATTAATAAAGAAAGATATAATTAAAGAGAAAGAGAGATAGAGATAAATAGAGATAAATAAAAAGAGAGAAAGAACGATAGATAAATACTAGAGAGAGAGAGAGAGAGAGAGAGAGAGAGGCGGGGTTAAATTTTTTAGAATTGTGTCTAAATTTTCCTGTTCCAATTCATATCTATTTTATAAGTGAAAAGTGACTCTACTTCCATACTTATCTCTGCTATATATATATTACGTCTCCTATATCGAGTTATATATCTCCTTACATTGCCTATATGATAGTTATAGTGAACAACAGAACGTTTTCATTAGTCATAAAACACATCTAACATTTTGACAACATCACGGTAACAAATGTAAGGCCCCTATATCGTTATACAATTTATTCATCATTTATTTTTTTCATCTTAAACTGTATTATCTTCACTACAACAATGTTATATAATACACAGGTTACAGGTATATTATTTATTTACACTTGAAGCAATGTTTAGACTCGATGCCAACAAAACAAACAACAAACAAACAGACAGCAAACAGAACAAACACATGTTTTTTTTATCTACTGAGAACATGACATTTTTTTTTTTTCTAAATAAAAGTTTTATTTTTTCTCTCCTTTTTTAATGTATAACTTTCAAGTATAACAGAGTGTGCTATATATATATCGCAGGCTTGTCTATCGTTTTCTTTCTATCTTTATATATTGTTATGTACATATAGTATCCAGCACACCTGTACCTAACACACCTGTACACACTACACCTGTACACACCTGTCTGTTATTGACACACACATACACACCTTCAGACACACGAACACTCACCTCTATATATACGTATACTAAGCTCCACCTATTGTACATCCTCATCTGAACTTTATGTTAGACTTCAAGACGGAAGCAACCCATTGTGAGAGACCCTTATGTGAGTATGTGTGTGTGTGTGTGTGTGTGTGTGTGTGTGTGTGTGTGTGTGTGTGTGTGTTGGTGTGTGTGTGTGTGTGTGTGTGTGTGTTGGTGTGTGTGTGTGTGTGTTGGTGTGTGTGTGTGTGTGTGTGTGTGTGTGTGTGTGTGTGTGTTGTACAGTGTGTTGTGTGTGTGTGTGTGTGTGTGTGTGTGTGTGTGTGTGTGTGTGTGTGTGTGTGTGTGTGTGTGTGTGTGTGTGTGTTGTGTGTGTTGGTGTGTGTGTTGTGTGTGTGTGTGTGTTGTGTGTGTGTGTGTATGCCCTCAACAACTTGATATTCTGGCAAGTTCAACAACACATCTGACAATTCAAATAATACCCCCACAATGGCAGACGGGGAGGCAGCCATCACAATACTACACACACACACTCCTCACTTCCATCACTCCCACAAAAGGACCTGCAAATCCCCCTGGAACAGATCCGTTCCCATTCCAGACTGTCTTCAGATCTGTTCCTCCCACCTCCCCCCTCCCCTTCCACCCTCCCCCTCCCACCCGGCGCCATTCCAGGATTTTCTTCGCTTCATTCTGATGTGATGGATGTACTGCTGGAAAGGGGACGCTTGTTTTGTTGTCTTGATTCTTTTTCTTTCTTTCTTTCTTTCCTTGTCTCTCAGTGTTCCTTCTTCTGTGAGATAACTTGGCTGACTATTGGGAGAGATACAGGTGTTCATACTCACCTGTCTACACTATACACATACACGCTTTATCTTTCTCACTCTTTCAATACTCCTATGTTTATACAAGTGTATATATATATATATATATATATATATATATATATATATATATATATATATATATATATATATATATATATATATATATATATATATATATATATACCTGTGTATATATACAGGTATATTAGCAGTCATCCAGGTAGGCGGCAACACACACCAACAACAAAAATCTTCCTGAAGACTCGTCTATCTCCTGCTGGGGGCGGTAGGGGGCGGCATCTGTCAGTTAGGTCCTTGTCACCCACCAGGTGGCTCATCCTGAGTGTCACTGCGCCACCTGATAACACAAGGTACACCTTATTCACCTAACAGCACCTGATTGTGTCCTTATTAGCAGGTGAACACACTCTGTTATACACGCGGGGAACATCCTACTCTGACCACTTGTCCAGAATCACTTGTTTACGTCGGTTATTCTCCGATTATCCTTCGTTACTTCCCCCTTAGCTGGGTCCTTAGGGGATTCCCGAGTCCTGAATGAGCACTGGAGAGGCGAGGACAGCGAGGAAGACTATGAAACATGAGGAGGGGGAAGACTAGAGAAGGAGGAGGAGGAAGAGGAAGAGGAAGAGGAGAGGGAGAAGACCGCCTAGCCTGGCTGGTTGATCGTCTCCACACAGCGTCTCTTCCCCGCCTTGGAATTTCTTTTGTGTTCTACTTCCTTAAACACTTTATCATCCTCTTGTCTCTCCTACTATATCTTCCTTTCCTTTCCTCCTCTTATATTCTATTTTTCTATTTTCTTCATCTATCTTTAAAATTCTCGTGTATTTTTTTTATTTTGTTCTATTATTCTCTTTCATTCACTACTATTTATCGTCTGTTAAACCTCACTTGTTTTTTTTCCTTATATTTACTCACACTTTTCCAGCCTGTAAACCTTGCCCCTCTCCCTCCTCCTTAACCCTCTCTTCCAGTTGACTTTTTTTTTCCTTCCATTTCTACGATTTATCATCAACGTTTCCTCATTTCCTTAAGTTGCAAGTCTTCCTGTTTGTCTTTCTCTCGTTACCTCTCCTTCTTTCTCTTCCTTTTCCACACTTTACTGTCTACTCTGTTCCCCACTGGTTTCCTTTAGTCGTTCCTCTGTATTCAATTCATTCTTTGTTCTCCTCCCTTTCCAGACGGTGGGAAGGGAGGGGAAGGAGTCTGATAACCACAGCCAGGTGGAAGAGGAGGGAGAAGAGAGAGGAGGTGGATAGGGGAAGGGGATGGAGAGGAGAAGGGTAAAGAGAGGAAAGGGGGAAAAGGGAGAGGAGGAAGGAAGGGAAAGAGGATGGCACGTTTCTTTTCTGAATCAAAACCTTAAATATTTTTTATTTTCCTCAACTTCATACTTTATGTGTTCATCCACACTCACCTTCTCAGTGCCAGGTGGTGTGAGGGGGAGGTGAGGAGAGGGTGAGGGAAGAGGAGGAGCAGGAGGAAGGAGTGGAGGAAAAGGAGGAGGAGGTACAGGAGGAGGGAAGATGGAGTGTGGTGTGGTACTATGGACGCCGCCTGACTCCCTGTAAGGTGGAAATAATAACATGTTAGTTCAGGTGAAATTTATATACATACATACATACATACATACATACATACATACATACAACTCCATAGAGCTCCTCTGTGTCTTTATAACCGTCCCAATTTTTCTATTCCAATTAAAGTATTAAAAATCTCATTCGTCTCACCTGACTTAACACTTCCCCCCCCTCAAAAAAAATAATCCGATTATTTTTTTTATTTTTTTTGTCAAGAAGAAAGTGAATTAATATGACTTAGTTAGAGATTGTGATGAGAAGATCCCCAGAATTTACATAAACAAAATATTGCTAAAATTTGGGTTCATCTACATGTAAATTAATAAGTGTGTGTGTGTGTGTGTGTGTGTGTGTGTGTGTGTGTGTGTGTGTGTGTGTGTGTGTGTGTGTGTGTGTGTGTGTGTGTGTGTGTTTTAAGTAATTTGTAAAGTATAATTAATTATATTTATTATTGTGAAAATTATTTACAAAAGTGTAAATAAATTATTTCTAATATTACAGAATGAAAATTAAGACAAAACATGACCTGATAGTGTGACCTATTTACAACACGTTACTTCATTAATTAATATATTTTACCTGAGGGAGGGAGAGGTAGATGGCCTATTGAGTCATTACATCATATAATCATTATTATTATTATATTATTATATTATTGTTATTATTATTATTATTATTATTATTATTATTATTATTATTATTATTATTATTATTATTATTATTATTATTATTATTAATATTATTATTATTTATTATTATTATTATTATTATTATTATTATCATTATCATTATTATTATTATTATTATGGGTCATTATCATCATGGGTCATTATCTCTATGATGGGTGGTAATTAAGTGTCATTATTAGGCTCAATACATCGGCTTGTAGAACTAATTTGCATATCATAACTCGATATATAATTTCCATATATCTACTGTATATTATAGCATTATCTACTATACTGTTTGTTTTTTGTTTGTTTATTTGTTTACATACCTGTTTGTTTGTTTATTTGTTTTGTTTTGTTTGTTTGTTGGTTTGTTTACATACCTGCATTATAGGTGAAAGTTTTCCTCCGTGTTTGTTTTTTCCACTCTTCTTCTTTCTCTTGTTGTTGTTGTTGTTGCTGTTGTTTGTTGGTTGTGATGTACTCAGCTGGCCCTCAGCCACCTGGCCAGCTGGGGCCGTCCTGTTCTTACCTGTGTGGGGAGATAAGAGAACCTTACTAGAAGAAGAAGAAGGGAAGGAAAAGATGTGAGAGAAGAGAATTATTGACATTATTCACCAAATAGTTCAAATTATTTACATACAAATAACAAAATAATAGTAATTGCACTACTACTACTACTATTACTACTACAACTACTACTACTACTACTACTACTACTACTTTTTTTTTATATAACGTGGCCTCAGCCTCCCCCAATAGACACCTTCGCCACCATTTTATTACCTTAATATTAAGTATCCTAATACATAAGTAGCTACCCTAGCTGTGTTGAGCCCCGAATCTATGCAGCATTCAGTGACTGTAGCCTCATAGTCAGTATCTTGCAACTGTTGTCGGCTTTGGGGTCGAGCGCTCGTTCCCCTGAGGCAGAACAAAAGCCGACCGAATGAGAGAGGACAGTCAACATCTCATCAGGCTGTAACATAACTGGGCTGCTGCTTCTGTTCGGAATCACTCCTCGAGTCTGGCGTAAAACATCTTGCACTTGGTCCCATCCACCAGAGGTTGTGAACACCAGAGGTGAAGCTGCCTTGGTCAACGTTTTGAATTCTCTCCCCTATGCCCTTATCTTGTCGTTCTCGTTCCCCTGTGTGCAGCATCAGAGCTAAGTTACGGTGACATGCGGCCATGGGATCAAAATCTGATGTTGAAGAAGGCTCGCTGTCCCGCGTCCAGAATCCTCGAGCACTGACGTCAACACGGGCTTCGTTGGATGTGTTTGAAGTCCTATGTTGGAAGATCTCTCCGTCCAATGGAAGGAGGTCGGTTCTACCTGACATCGGCAGATTTCCTTCAACATATTTGCTGTGAGATCCCTTACTTCGTCATACCTCATGCATATGAAGGCCCTTTCTTGCACCATGGCGTGATCGACGTCATAGGAAGAGCCACACACGCATTGGGAGGGCAAACCTTCTACTGGTCTACCGTACCTTAGAGCATTGGCATCTGTAAATTCTTGTTTATTGAGACTGAAACCATTTACCCTTATCGGTAACGTAGTTAACCAGTTCGAGGCGCCCACCTCCTGCGGTATAGCTACTTTTTTTTCAAATTCACTGGTACTTGCTGCAACAGTTGCTGCAACTTATCACTTTGGCCATGCTGTTGTTCTGTTGTAATGGACCTTCGAATCTTGTTTACTTCACTGGTATCCTCCTCCCCTGTTGCGTTCTGAGCTATTATGTGGTCCGTGAGGGCTGCCGTGAGCTTAACTGAGTTTGGATGTTCGGTGGCAGCAAACTCCTCTGGATTGGTCAATCATTCCTCCCAGTCTCATTGGTAGTGCAAGGAGTGATCTTTCTGCTGGGGGTTAAGTGAAGGTGTTTCACTAATTTGGGAATGAAATTGACTGTAACTTCTTCAGAGGGGTGGAGGGAGGTCGATATCAGGGATAGTGCGCATCAAGTAGTTCAGCGATGCTTGACTCCATGGGTGAATGCCGCAAAAGCCGCATGTGGCTCTGTGTTAACCAATCTCAGAAAGAGCTTAGTTTCCCTAACCCACTCATTCACCTTTCCGTTACGTACTCGTCTTGAAGTCCGTCGTGCCGATTACTGCGCCCAGGTGTCTTTGGCCATCCTTTGTTATTTTGACCTCACTTCACCGAACACCTCCATTGCCCGTTCATAATGTTCTGGCTTCACAATGAGGAAGGACTTGCTGGCGTTTGGGTGGTACCCTATTTGTGGGCCTCGCGATGTTACCAGGTCCCACCACTTTTGATGTCTCCACTTTCCTGCTCCTGTAAGGTCATCAGCATATGCCACTTGCTTCACCTCAGTTGTTTCAAATTTTATTGTGTGTTGGAGCACTGATAGGCCTGTGCATACATTGCCATTTACAAGAGTCCCCTGTGTGTTGTTCCCTCGGTTGACTGTATGATGGTATCACCTCCTAGAGCCTTGTTGTTTACTATATAGAGGTCTGATGGATTTCTGTAGGTGTTTTCCATGCATCACTTGGACACTTGATCTTGATGTTGTGCAGGAGGCCTTGCGGTTAAGTTTGTTGAACGCGTTTGAAGCATCCACCAGAGCAGTTATTATTATTATTATTATTATTATTATTATTGTTATTATTATTATTATTATTATTATTATTATTATTATTATTATTATTATTATTATTATTATTATTATTTATTATTATTATTATTATTATTATTATTATTGTTATTATTATTATTATTATTATTATTATTATTATTATTATTATTATTATTATTATTATTATATTGTTATTATTATTATTATTATTATTATTATTATTATTATTATTATTATTATTATTGTTATTATTATTATTATTATTATTATTATTATTATTATTATTATTATTATTATATTATTATTATTATTATTATTATTATTATTATTATTATTATATTTATTATTATTATTATTATTATTATTATTATTTTTATTATTATTATTATTATTATTATTATTATTGTTGTTATTATTATTATTATTATTATTATTATTATTATTATTGTTATTATTATTATTATTATTATTATTATTATTATTATTATTATTATTATTATTATTATTATTATTATTATTATTGTTATTATTATTATTATTATTGTTATTATTATTATTTTATTATTATTATTAATTATTATTATTATTATTTTATTATTATTATTATTATTATTATTATTGTTATTATTATTATTATTATTATTATTATTTATTATTATTATTGTTATTATTATTATTATTATTATTATTATTATTATTATTATTATTATTATTATTATGTATTATTATTATATTATTATTATTGTTATTTATTATTATTATTATTATTATCATTATTATTATTATTATTATTGTTATTATTATTATTATTATTATTATTGTTATTATTATTATTATTATTATTATTATTGTTATTATTATTATTATTATTATTATTGTTATTATTATTATTATTATTATTATTATTATTATTATTATTGTTATTATTATTATTATTATTATTGTTATTATTATTGTTATTATTATTATTATTATTATTATTATTATTATTATTATTATTATTATTATTATTATTATTATTATTATTATTGTTATTATTATTATATTGTTATTATTATTATTATTATTATTATTATTATTATTATTATTATTATTATTATTGTTATTATTATCACCATGCGTATTTATATCCATTCATCTATTTGTCTATTTAAAATTTCGTCCGGTACAAACGCCAAATTTAAATACCTGGAACCTAACCGTCAGCTGTTACCCCCTCAACCATTTAATCCTTTTAAAAGATATAATCATTTTAAACGCCGCTCTGTTTTGAACTCTTTACCGAACAATAAATCAAAATAAAACTAATTATCATTATCTAACCTCATGTGTACCTTTATAAATTATAATTAAATTAATAAATAATTAATGTCGACAATTTAAAACGATAATAAGAGGTGTTGAAGTTCCCAGCCAGCAGTGTGTCGTCAGGCGGGGGAGGAGGTGTTACTGACCCTGACGATCTCTTATATTGTGCTGACACTTACCCCGTGATGCTGACACTGCTGACGACACACCCTACGTTAGTGTTTTATTATAGTGTAGTGTAATAAAGTATATAAGTGACTTCAATAAACAGTTAAGTGTGATTAATATGAATCTTATAAGTGACTACGTGGCAACTATCAGACGCTGCTTAGACCAAACCTGTAAGTAAAAAAATAACAATTTATATTTTATTTAATTTTTTACTTTAATAATCTGTGATAATTTATAAGTATGTGTACGATTGTGTGTTTACATATGCGTACATGAATGTAGACACGTGTACGTAGATGGTGATAATGTAAACAACGGAATTGACGGTGATTTAAAATTGACGCCTCGGGTGATTGGTGGTTATTGATAGATGGTGGTGCTGGTTGTAACTGGTTGTGGTGATGGTTGTAGCTGGTTGTAGTGATGGTTGTTGCTGGTTGTGGTGATGGTTATAACTGGTTGTAGTGATGGTTGTAGCTGGCTATAGTGATGGTTGTAACTGGTTGTAGTGATGGTTGTAGCTGGTTGTGGTGATGGTTATAACTGGTTGTAGTGATGGTTGTAGCTGCAGCCAATCAGCGCAAAGGAAGCGTTACACACCTCCATCGTGGGCCAATCACCGACCAGACAACCTCTCACAAGCCTCTGGTCATCCCATGTACACATAAACTACATTACGCACACACACACACGATGATGTATGTGTGTATGTTGACATTCACTGGGGTTGTCATGACGACGGGTGGAGAGGTTAGAGGTATTTCTGATATTGTTGTGTTTGTTAGACTGTTCCTCGTCATACTAGGGGTTGGATCACCTGAAGATTGACCACCCTACCTTTATTCACCTGAGCATTAACTAATGGGAGACTTACCTACACCTGACACCCAATAGGGGGAGACTTACCTACACCTGACACCCAATAAGGAGAGACTTACCTACACCTGACACCCAATAAGGAGAGACTTACCTACACCTGGCAGCCAATAAGGGAGCTCCACTCTCGTGTTGGCTCCCCCGGTGATGGTGGTAGTGCTAGTGGTGGTGCTGGTGCTGGTTGTGCTGGTGGTGGTAGTGGTGGTCGTGGTGGTTGTAGTGCTGGTGGTTGTGGTTGGTATCTCTGCAAGAATAAATGGTGGGGGATGGTGCACAGAGCAGAGATTCTTTATTGCACGTGTTGAAATTTAAAGAGATTTTGCGTGCGAGAAATAATGATCTTTTAGTGGCTGATAGTGGTAGTGGTAGTGGTGGTAGAGGTGGTGGTAGAGGTGGTGGTAGTGGTGGTAATGGTGGTGGTGTCCGGGAGGTGAGATTAAGCTGCCATCAAACTACTCCCCGGATTAGGTTAGGTTAGCCTTGGGGCAGGTTAGGTTAAGTAGAGTTCATAGCAGGTTAAGTTAAATTAGGTTCATAGCAGGTTAGGTTAGGTTAGGTTAGGTTA